TCGCCACCATCACTGCTAAACTCAATTGAATCACAAATATGCTCAAGGAACTCAACCTCAGCTCCACCGTTACTCCTAAAATATATTGTGATAATGTTGGAGCTACTTACTTATGTATCAATCCAATATTCCATTCCCGCATAAAATATATTACTATCGACTTCCACCTTATACGAGATCATATTGTCAAACATCAACTACATGTTTCTCACATGTATACAGCTAATCAACTCGTAGACTCACTCACAAAGCATCTTACCTACAAACTATTTTCATTGCATCGGTTCAAGATTGACATCCTTAATAGAAGCTTAATCTTGTGGAGGTATGATCACATATAAGATTTTCTCAACTACACGAGGAAATCTCTAAGCAGTTGAGAAAAATCATCTTTGCTAATATATATAAATAGCCATCAAGTTCACTATCTCAAGCATACTATGTAATTATATTTCATACCCTATCAGTGAAAACAATCATCATTTCTTCGAGGGCACCCGCTCAAAACCATCCTCGTCCTCGACCTATGCCTCAAGCCCTTCTATGTTATCAACATCAAGGGGATCTCCATTGACGGGGTGCTCCTAGCCATCATGACGAGAAGTTGAAGCAAGCTATTAGTAGAGCAACACAAACAAAGTGTTTGATGCTTGTCCATAATAGTTTTTAGTTCTTATTTTCTACTATTTTCTCTTTTTTAATGTTTTCTAAATAGCATATTGTACTAGGTATAAAACATTATTGTCAACCTCATTTTATTTGTTGTCAAAGTTTTTATTTCATATTTTCATCATGTAAATTTTAAAAAATATTTTTAGTTATATGACACCGAGCGACGGGAAAAATGACCCAAAATAATATCGATCTCATGTGCCACTAGCTTATTTTATAGTTTGCAGCCTAGCAATATGAAACATCAACTATCTCATAACCTTAAAACCTCCTGGGTGGCGCTAGGGAGGATGAAGCTTTAGGTGTATGTTTAAGGAGTGATGCAACATCTATAGTGTGTCCCTTTTTTGTTCAACAAAAGTAAGGTGAATATTGAGCCTATATCTACCTTCATAAGCCCCCTTTATATGCACTACTACATATTATTCGAATCCTTTTTTAGCTACATTCAGCTCGTACTCAACTACTGCATCTACATTAAGCTCGTATTCGAATCCTTTTTGAGCCTAATAAAAGCTGATTTCTTTATGTTGCTTTGGATCCTGATTTTCTTATCCTTTTCGTGTGTGATGATAAAAAATTACTCGCACATTTGTCTTTCTGACCTTTTCTTTGTTATGCATGTCATTTATGGACCGCACAAGGTTAAGGTTTCGGCTGACCATTCCAGATACATATTGCTTGAGTGTCACATATTTTGAATAATCCCAGTTAAGGATATGATAGAATAGCATCAAAGCAAGTAAAACAAGCATCAAATTGCCATGGTAGAATAGTGTGGCAAAACCAGCATTGTTGTACAACATGGGCAAAAATAATGCATGATTTGTTCTCGAGAATAAATAAGCACTCAGCATGAAAACTAGCAAAACTACTTCAGTAGAGTGTGGCATATGTAGTGATGTTCCCATGGTGCAAGAGTTCTCCCACATAAAATAGGCAGAAGTTGAAAAAGTTGAAAGGCAACCTTAATGACATAGAAGCACTAATGAAAGAGGGGTCGAGTTGGAGCTGCAACTTGACCTTGTCAACCAAAAGTTAACATAATTTACATAAGTGGGGAGCTTTTTGAAGTGATAGAGCTCATGCAAACAGAGTTGGAATCTCGACTAGATCAATTGGAGCTCCGAATCAAAAGGTTGACAGATAACACGAGAGGGTTTGTGCAATACTTATAAGGGCAAGCAAGAGACTTGACAACTCAAGTTTCAATACTCATGTAAGCTACACATGCAAGTGGAGGAATATCTGGCGATCATCTCTCATCAAGATTAAGGGCTCTCGAACCTTAAAGCTACGAGGGTGCTCAGGATGCCAAAGAGTTAGAAGACTTCCTCTTCAATATGGAGTAGTACTTAAGCCGACTTGAATATGAAGATTTAAGGTGTTGTTAGTGATGATGTATCTCATCAGTGATGCAAAATGGAAAGAAATGCAACAAGATCATTATAACATTGACACTTAGGAAGCCTTGAAGAAAGAATTGTGAACTTAGTTCACACTAAATACATAGAGTTCATTGCATGGCACAAATTGCAACAACTTTGCCAAACCTCTACTATCAAAGACTATATAAAGTAATTTTCATTGATATTAGACATTCAAGATATGTTCAAGGAAGATAAACTTTTCTACTTCCTCAATGGTCTAAAATTGTTTACTAAACACGAGTTACATCGTCAGAATATCTATGCGCTAGCAAGTGCAATCAACGATACAAAACGGCTTATAGATTTCTCTATAATAAAAAAAAAAGTACTCATCAAAAAGGGATCAACGAGAGCTTCTACGTGGAATGACTCAAAGAAGAAAAGTGCTTTGCAAGGACTTAGATATAGAGGTAATATCCTAAAGTCTAAGATATCATTTGTGTGGTTGAAAGCATCCGATGTTGGAATGCTCGCAGTGAAGGGAGGTACTCAATGCCCTTACACCTTCTTTCTAATCAGAGAAGGGTAGAGCGAAAGCAAAATCATTCGGCTCGAGTATATCGAGCTCAAGTAGTGACAAATCATCATCAAGACCTTGCATGGGAGCTACATATTTGTTAAACACATTATGATGTAAAGTCTGAGAGAAACCAAAACAAAGGCCAAAGAAGAAGAATGACTCTCTAAGCTCAAGTTTGTCAGAGTCGAGTAGTGACAAAAGATCACCGCAACAATCTTACATTGGGGCGATGCAACTATTGAATGCACTGCAATGTCACATGAGAGAGTAGTCTAAGGCAATGTCGAAAGAGACAAAGGCATATGATAACCTACTGATGTTCGTGAAAATCAAGCTGAAAGGGAAGGCAACTCACGTATTAGTGGACACACAAGCCACACACAATTTTGTAACAAATCGAGAGGCAAAATGACTCAATATTAAAGATGGCAAAAAAGTTAGAGCCAAATGAAGACAATCAATTTGGAGGCTAAACCTATCTCTACATTGGCAAAGGGAGTCAATAATAAGATAGAAGATTATAGTAGAAGTACCAACTTGGCATTTCCCTTGGACGATTTTCAAGTTGTTCTTAGGGTAGAGTTTCTATAAGAGGCAAAAGCAAATACTTATGCCATTCTTGAATTCTCTATGTCATAGATAGTGACTTTCCATGCATAGTGGTACTTTTGAAGGAAGCTTTGAAAGACATAATTTTGGCTATGCAAGTGATGAAAGAATTAAGGTTGGAAGACTTAACTCATCCCACAACGATATGGCTGGAGTCAAAAGGCCTCAATATAGGGCAAGGGTCAATCACGATAGATGCACTTGAAGAATATGCCGATGTGCCAAGATCTCAGTTGTCAAAGCTCTCTCCACATAGGCACAAGGTGGAATGGCAATCCGAACTTAATGGAGTCGAAAATCCAATCAACTATCCACATTAGGCATCATTTTCGGAGTGAGAGAAACTCTAAGACCCCTCAAATAAGTTGTTGGGCAATAAATAGTTTTAAAGTTTATGTTCGCTCGTGGATAACCCAGTGCTCTCGAGGGGTGAGACTGAGCGAGCAATTGTTAATACCAAGCGAACTACTAAAGAATTAGAGTTTGTGGTGGCCATACAACAAGAGGATGGTGGTGACCACATCAAAAAGTTGTAGTCTAATTGGCAAAAGATTAAAATAAAAATATTTTCCAAGTCATAAGGTATACAGAAGTAACTAATAAGTAGAGACAAGATTGTAACAACCTCGAGTCTAGGAGGGACTCGACTACCTAAGTACTTGGGCAAGAAAGCATCGGACTGAAGGCTATGAACATCACGAGATGAGGCATGGTACCATAGTGGCGGATCTTTTGAGCACTGACCAAACTTGTACACAAAAAGCATCGGAGAGCACATTTTCAATTGCAAATGGGGTGTCGAGGATCCCATAAGCATGACCAAAGTTATTACATAAGCACTCTATAAGGGTGAAACCTAAGTTAGATTCGAGCAACACTTCTAGCATTCCAAAAGTGTGATGGCGAAGAGCGAGTAAAATCAAATAACCAGCTCGAAACAAGGAGTACAATGCAAGAAAATTGGATGAATCCATTCTGAGGAACTCAATTGTCCTCACCTATGCAATGGAGATCTATATCAATCGAAAGTCCCATCAAATAAAAGATGCGAGAGATAAACTTTGCAGGAGAAAGCCAAGGACACTTCAAGTTCTATGAACAGTGAAGGTCCAACCAACATGTAATAGTCAAGCTTTTACATGTTGACACCGACAAAGGGCTTGAATGCAGAATATGAAAGCTCTTCTCTTGCTAACTAACAAATCTGAATGACTCAAGAATAAGTGTTCTAACTCAGCCAACTTCCCCAGCTTAGCGATGACGAGTTGCAACCAAGTGGACGGATCAAATCAAAATCGACGACTCAACAAAAGCAGAGATAAGTTATGACAAAGGATGCAACACTCTTTGAAACCCTATTTGTGCAATCCGTTTTCAAAACCCTTTCAAAAACCAAATTGTTTTGGATCCCAATTATCTTACCCTTTTTGTGTGCTTTTGTTGTATAAATCCTTTGTGGACTATATTGCAAGTGCATATCGTTCGAGTGTGTAAAATCTAAACTAACCCTTGCAAATGCATATCTCGTTTAGAGTGTCGCACATCATCCGTAAAAATTACTCGAGTATTGCTAGGCAATGCTAGCTAAAACCATTATAGAGTGACAATACTATCATCAACTCGAGGACGAGCCTGATGGTGATGACGAAGCCCGACGGGGGTTGCCAAGGTGACCGTCCTCCCCTTCGAACACTGCTACAACTGGAGGGGCAGACAGAACAGGAGCTGATGAAGAAAATGTTTCAGACACAAACTAAACAAAACAATAATATCAGAAACAGTCAAATGATTCCAGATTCTTCTCTTCTAATCATCCAAGAAAAAGGCAATTGTAGTTGCAGCTGCAAATTACGTCAATTGCAAAGCCAAGGAAGCTCCTGGCAGTAACAACAATATTAAAGCTACTACATTTAGCCTACATCACATCATCAAAGTTTTCGGATATAATATACGATAAGGCCCGTCCTGGAACTTAAGCTGCATCATCAGCTCTCAGTTTGTTCTCTCAATCGACGAATAGTGCTCCTCACAGTGACAGCACTAGCAGTGCTGCAAGCAATGCAGCATCGAAAATGTAAGAAAGAGACTTATCTATCTAATTAGGTGACACACTAGAGTAGCAGTAGACTCACTTCAATGTATAAGCACCGCCTGCCTTGACCTTGCCGCAATCCTTACAGCCCCAAATCCCAACTGCTTTTCTCTTCACAGCATACTGCAACAGTACCAAGCCCAAAATATTATAAGTTTTACTAATAAAAAAAGCACAATAGATCATATAAAAAAAAAGTGTCAACACAATGGCTAAATATATAATGATAACAACAATAAAAGGTGTAGTAACCCAACTAGTTAGGGTCAACTACATGATCAATATAGATGAGCAATATTGTAACATCACTATTTAATGTCACCTAGAAAGTGGACTAAAACTTAGAATGACTTATAAAGGGGTCTGACGGGTGATAGATGTACTACCATTAAGCATTTTGGACCAGTGGTCCAAGCTCAACGAAATCAAGATCGAGTATCACATCATATTAGGTTATCACAATTGGTATCCGAGTCAACATTAGAACATGATAAAAGAACCAAGTAGGAAAAGATTAGGAATAAAGAGCACGTCACGACGTGAAGCCATCACTGAGCTATGCCTCACATGTCACAGAATACCAGAGTCTGATTCTGGACTATTTTGGGGCTTGACAAGGACGTCAATTCCTTAAGCGAGAGAGATTGCAACACTCTGGCTTAGTCCCACATTGAAAGCAGACTAAGGCTTAGAATGACTTCTAAGGATCATGAGATATACAAAGTTAACAACGACATTCACTTTGGCTTATGCATTTAAGTTTTGAGCTAGTGGCCCAAGCGCTATTAATATCAGCTTACACATTTGAGCTAGTGGTTTAGGCTCAATGAAGTTAACAAATCCATTATGGTCGTGACACAAATAAATGATTTAATAACTTTAACCAAAAAGCCAAGAGTTATAAGATTTTGAGAAATTCTCAATCAGGTAATTCAACATTGTTCACAGGAGCACAATTAGTCATTTAATTATAATGAGAAATGTGGCACGATTCATTATCAATATATTGGCAAATGAGACATATCTGTCACCTATTTACTTTCAAAAATCACAACCATAATAGTGAGGGGGACAAGCATAATAACCATAACCTTCTTCGGACAGTAAAAATGAAATCACAAAAACATGATAGTGTTGAAATTACTCCTAAAAGGCAAAAAGAAAAGAAAAAATAGACTAGTCAAGAAACAAAAACTGAAATATATATCAAAATAAAAAAAAAGACTAAAACCAAAATGGTTAACCTATCGGCACATTAACATTTCAAACTTTAGAGAAGGTAACACACACACACACACACGCACACACAAATATATATCAAATTAGAAAAAGGTTGAGTTACACCAAAATGTTTAGTCCATTGGCTTGTTCGCATTTCAAACTCTAGAGAAGTTGACATACATCCATATATGTCATTAGAAAGAGAGCAACTAAAAGTTTGATTGAACTCAACACCCACCATATAAGATTGTCAGTCTAAATATGAAAATAGCATCGCTCTAGTTATTATGCCATTTCAGCTAATCAAGTCAGATGCAAATACCAGCAGAGAGGTTAATTGCCAAGCTAACACCCTGAGCACTAAGGAATGAGATTTTTGCAAGGTTACCTCGCAAGCAAGCAACAACACTCGATGCAAAAGAAATCATACCTTTCCGCAGAACTCACAGAAGTACTTTGCATGCTGAGAAACCTCCATTTTCTTGATTTGCTTCCTCAAACTTGCACCATACCTGGTACCTGAAAAGCACAGAAAAAAAGAAACAGAAGCAAATTAAAACTTATAATGGTTCTTGCATCAGCATAACCAACGTTTGGAGATATAGGATATACCGTATTTGCCAACAATTCCGGCCTTCTTGGTGCGCTTCGTCTGCAATCGAATGAAAAGAAGTAGCCTTAGATATCAGAAAAATTCAATCAAGTGAAGATACATGGCAGACGGTCGCAAATCACAACCGGTTGACAACTCAGCCAATGCTCATTCGGAGCACCACCATAGCAGTAGTAGTAGTGAGATTGATGTCCACTGACTCAACTTTGTAAATCTAGTGCATAAACAAGACAATAGAAGACTTCTTATTACATAGAGATATATGCTATCCCTTGCATTGATCTAGGAGTGACGCCAAAATCTATGCCCACAAGTTCTCAAACACAATCACTCTGTACTAAAATAAAAACACAATTTTCAGTACGTTTGCAATGGATCAAAAACTATTTCAAAACATAATTTTTCAGAGATTATAATCGGTCACAAAATGAGTTCTTTTGCGCGAGTATCAACGATCTGAAAACAAAGATCATCTCCAACCATTTCGTTGACCAGCAATATCTCAATGTCCATCGAATCATCCATCACAGTTCAACACTCAAAGATATATCAAATGAATACGAAAGGAACTCCAAACAAAAGATGATATATTTCCAGCCATTCCCCGCTTCTCTGTCTCTACCATCATCCAATTTGAAGAGGGGTCGAGAAGGAATACCAAAAAACCGAAGCGAACAAAACGCATACCATTGCTCCGAAGACCTAAACGCCGAGCGAGGACTCCGAAGAACAGACGGAAGAGTCGGCCGCGACTTCCCCCAACTTTTGCCCTTTATAGCCAAAACCCTAATCTAGAACAGTAGGTGGATCGAGCAATCGCGGCCGTTCGATGTCCCAAGTTCCCGAGCTGGCCAGGGAGCGTCGAAATCACGATCTCGACCGTCCAGTGCTTGGAGATTCGTGCGCACTCTGAAAACCCGTGAGTTCGAGCCCTCCCGTCGGAAGGAGCAAACAGCGTTCCGCCCTGCAAAACCAGTGCTCTGCCATGGAGCATCATCATCATCTCTTGGGCTTTGGCTTTTGGCGTGGGGAAGGGCGACCCTTCCCTGCCGTGGCGCTATCTTCTGCTTCCAAGGACGACGAATGAACCCTCTCCGTTTGTCACGCCCGCCGCCCCCCCCACCCTCTCACCAGCTGTGTTGCACGTAACCCTCTCCATTCCTGCTACTCCTCGTCTACTCTTTCTCGTTTCGTCTTTTGAAGACCCTCTCGCTTTCTCTCCGGTGAATTTATATGAAATATATATTAAAGATAATTTTTTCTTTAAGATAACTTTCTGAAATCTTATAAAAGAATCAAATCTTATTATTAGATTTTTTTTATTATCTTCGTGGGACACTCGTATACGAATTCCAACATAATTCCTAAATAATGCAAGAGGCAGAGCGCACTAGCGGCACCGCCGAACACATGGCCAAACACCAGGGCGCCGCCCAGCACGTTGGCGGAGAGCAGCTTCGTCATGCAGATGCCGCTGTCGACGGGCGACATTAGGAACGCCATCCACGCGGTGCCCACGAAGCGGAACCACCAACCCGTCACCGTGGCCGCTGCTGCCTCCTACTATATGCCACCCGCCCGCTGCTCGCCGCCGTTGCCCGCTGGTGTCATCGGGAAACATAAATTTGCCGATGTCCGCGCGTGCATGCGCCCGACCAAGTGCATGCACTGCGCCGAGCACGCTTTTGAATCCGATGCTTGTCGTGCACCTTTGAAGTGCACGCAATCGCTCGTATTAATGCACCGCGCAAGTGCCACATGGCACCACAGCGTTACGCCGCAGAGACTTAAAAGGGCCCCATCCCCTACCAACGGAAGCAAGGAATAAAATAAATAAAAAGATTTTTGTTGTTGTTGATGTCAAAAGATATATTATTTCTCCTCCAATTAAAATGAAATAGAATCATAGAATGAGATGATATATATATATATATATATATATATATATATATATATATATATATATATATATTGGAGAGGGAGGTGGAGGGAGCCTGCAAATTGTTGGAGTTGCCATGGGCAAAGTAGAGACGGGAGAGCGAGGAGGATGGAGATCTCAAGAAGAGGATGATGCAGTCGGTGGCCAAGAGGAGGTTGTTTGACCTCGACCGCCAATTCACCGCCTCTGGGGGCTGCCTTCGCCCCCATCACCTCCTGCTCTACCCAACCCCAACACCTTCCACCTACATAGATTTGTGTTTCTGCTGATCCAAGAATCTTTCTTTGGACTCTCTTTGTAGGAACCTGCTTGGCCACCATCCACTTTGTGGCAATACAAAGAAAACCTGAAGGGGAACGATTTCGATATGCATTTAGGAAAAGAATAGATAGACGTGTTGGGATCAAAATCTTGTAAACCATGACAGTAGTACATAAAAAAGCATCGAAATCATTCTCTTTCAGGTTTCTCTGTATTGTAGTAAAGTGATCGTAGCTAAGCTGATTCTTATACACAGAGTTAAAGCATTATTATAACGATTCTTGCATTAGCAGAAGCATCATATATAACTTGTGCCCCTCCCTCCCCCTCCTGTTTCATCTGCGTTCTCCCACAGCCCCATGGAAATCCTCTCCCCTAAGCGAAGCAGTCGCTCCCAACTCGGCCACGAAAGTGGAGGAGGTGATGCGGCCGACTCTGCTGTGGCCGTCTCCGAGACGGTGAACCAGCGGTCGAGGTCGAACACCCTTCTCTTGGCCGCCAACTACATGATCCTCTTCCTGGGCTCTCTGTCCTCATCCCTGCTCTCCCGCTTCTACTTCGTCCATGGCGGCTCCAACCGTTGGGTGGAGACCCTGGTTCAGTCGGCCGGCTTCCCGCTCCTCCTCCTCCCCATATACCTCACTCCGTCTCCCTCCTCTCGTCCCTTCTCTGGCTTCAGTCGTCGTCTTGTTTATGTGTCCCTCCTGCTCGGCCTCCTGCTGGGCGTCAACAATCTGCTCTTCTCCTGCGGCGTGTCCTACCTCTCCGTCTCCACTTCCTCGCTCCTCCTATCGTCGCAGCTCGGTTTCACGCTCCTCCTCTCGGCGCTCCTCGTCCGCCACCCGTTGACCTTCTCCAGTCTCAACTGCGTCGTGCTTTTGACCCTCAGCTCCGTTCTTCTCGCTCTCAACTCGTCCGGTGACCGCCCCCCCGGCGTCGACCGGGGCCACTTCTTCCTCGGCTTCGCCGCCACCCTCGGCGCCGCGGGCCTCTTCGCGGTGTACCTCCCGGTCACGCAGCTGGTCTACCGCGGGGTGAGCGGGTACCGGATGGTGGTGGAGGTGCAGCTGCTGATGGAGGCAGCCGCGACGGCGCTAGCTGCGACGGGGATGGCGGCGAGCGGCGGGTGGCGAAAAGAGGGCGCGTGGGACCTCGGCGGCGCCCGGTACTGGACGGTGGTGGCGGCCACGGTGGTGGGCTGGCAGTTCTGCTTCATGGGCACCGCGGGGATGGTGTTCCTGACGTCCTCCGTGAACAGCGTCATCTGCATGACGGCACTGCTCTCCGTCAACGTGCTGGGCGGCGTCCTGGTGTTCGGCGACGAGTTCGGCGGCGGCAAGGCGGTGGCCCTGGTGCTCTGCCTCTGGGCCTTCAGTTCCTACCTGTACGGAGAGTACAAGAAGAAGAAGGACGAGGCTGTGATGGCAATGGAGGAGGGGAAGGAGACGGAGAGGAGAGAGAGTAGCGAGGTGACTGGAGGCGATAACAGTGCTTGAACAGCTTCTGATCTCTCGTCCTTCCTTATCATTGTCTTCTTCTCTATGTTTTCGGCGTAACGAGGAGTTGTTCTAAGGGAGGAGGTGTTAGGTCGAGAGGGAAAGAGAAGAGATCCACCTCAACCTTGTCAATCTAAGGAAAGATACTGCTGATCTTGTGTTCTTTTCTTACCTTTTTGTTAGAGTCATAGGTTATGGTAGATCATCTTGGATCCGCCGATCTAAATAGCATGTTAACAGTTCAATGCAAGTAAATACAATAAGAGATTAGCGTTACCGAAGCGGACCATTGCCAGGGGACCAGAATAAGGATATCTTGCTTTAGGAAGGATGATGAGAAGTACAAAAAGGCGAGCGAAGGTGACACCAAAGCCATACATAGTGGGATGTGAATCCTTTGCTCTCATGTGTTGGTGTTCTATTCTGGGTTTCCTGTGGGCTCTTTATTCCCTCGCCTTTTGGCAGCTACACACCCATCTCCTTGCCTTTTTTTGGATGCTCATGTCTCTCTCTCTCTCTCTCTCTCTCTCTCTCTCGCTCTCTCTCTCTCTCTCTCTGTCACACACACACACACACACACAGGGCTTCATCTTGTCCGAAGGACTGACTTCAAAGGAAGTTTCAGAGAGCACCAATGTCCCTAGAGGAGGACGATGGCTTTGGAAACATTAACAATAAAGGATCCATAAAACAATGGTATACAAAGAAAATGAAATTTCAAAATTGTATACATGGATTAATGGTTCTGCAGAGTTTTTATTTTTATTTTTAAATAAAAAAAATTACGAATTATTATTTTCTAAATAGAAATTAACTAAAATCATATTATCTACGTAAAAAATCAAAATCTTAATCCACCTCTATACATAATAATAAAATTAAGAAACGAAATGATTTCACTTTTTTTTACCTCTATTATAAATAAATATTTATGATAAGTGTTTATGTCTTTGACTTTTATTTAGGAAATAATCATAAAGTTACTTTTCAGTTTGCATGCATTGAGATCGTCTTAGTCCTTATAACCACATCATAATTCAGTTTAAGGCCACTTCCATTGAGCACGATCAAGTTAGGTTAACGGTATTAAGTTGTAATTGTATGTTGGTGAACAAATGTGCCGTGGATACACACAACCATCTCAATCATTATACACAATATATTTTTCCTATCTTATCTTACTTATTGCGAAACATTGGCCGGTGCGGCATCGCTGAGGAAGAATCGTACTTAGAAAATTTAGTGTTCGTATTTAATATAGCGAGTTCATAATAAAACATATATTTGTAATTGCTGTGGATGACAAAAATATCATATGATTTATTTAACAAGCAAGCAAGCAAACAATTCATTTAAATATCGTATTGATATGGACATGTTCAGTAGTTATATCATAATCTTCGGACTGATGATATCAAGAACTAAAAAATATGAGGAGGGATTTCGTTATAAAAAATATGATGATATCTTCGGACATGTTCTTTTGCAATAATATGATCCACTTTGGTATTTATTTTGAATCATTCATCTGTGAGGTCTGTGATCAACTCCGCATGTTTCAGCTCGTTATCGTACCTTCGGTCCAAGCCATTCCTCTCGTCTTTCGATTTGATTTAAAACCGGACCGACACCACCGCAACCACCACCACAACAACAACGACGACATCGACACCTTAGTTGGATCCCATGAACTCATACACCGCACAATACTGTTTCCCTCCCACGTCTCAGCCATTCCTCTCGGCTTCTCCTCTTCCAAGAAACCTCCTCTGCTCAACAACGTCAACCATCCTTTCATGTATGTTCTATTATGAACTCGCCGAAGCACAGTTATAGCAGACTACTACATATTACGACTTCAATCTGGAGTACATGAAATATGAACGCTACGATCATTACAACACGCACAAAACAAAAAAAAGCTGTCTCGACAGATTTAACAATCTTAATTCTAACTCTCTTCTTTGGAAACACACACTAATTCAAGACCATTGGCAATGAAGAATCATAGAAGAAACACAATTGCGTATGCTAATAAAAGTGGACTAGAAACCCTCAAAAGTCCTGAAAAGAATCATCATCGCTTGCACCACCTTTCTTCCCCTTGTCCACCGCTTCCTCGTGAGCAAGCCGCCTCACATCTATTGGTTCAGGTATGTAAGGTGGTGTGGCACTCCTCACTAGCGCCCAGTTTACCCCATCGAAGAAGGGGTGCTGTTTGATCTCGGTAGCACCCCTTCTGTACCCGATCCTCTTCTCTGGTTCCTTCTCGAGCAGGCCGCGGATGAGGTCTCGTGCGCTCACGCTCACCGCCGGTGCCTCCGGGAACATCAATGGCTGGCCTACTATGTTGAAGAGCGTGGCTCGGTTTCCTGACCCCTTGAATGGGGTCGTGCCGTACACGAGCTCGTAGAGGAAGATGCCCAAGGTCCACCAGTCCACTGCGCTCCCGTGGCCGTCTCCTCGGATGATCTCAGGTGCCAGATACTCGTGCGTGCCGACGAACGACGTCGAGCGTGCATCCGTCGGCTCCGCCATCAGTTCCAGGAGAGCACGGCTCCCCGTGCCCAAGTCCAGTTTGGATTTGTGGGTCTTCTTGGGGAGGATGCGCGGCAGGAACGCGGTCGGCTGCATGCAGCCCTGCAGCATGGTCTCGCTCGCGAGCGTTCCCTGGGTGCGAACGCTGCTGCTGCCTCCATGGACGGATGAGGCCTCGACGAGCGTGGGGTTGAAGGAGCACTGCAGCGACAAGTCGAAGTCGGAGAGCATTATGTGGCCGTCGTCCCTGACGAGAACGTTCTCCGGTTTCAAGTCCCTGTACACTACTCCAAGCATGTGCAGGTATTCGATCGCGAGCAGCACTTGAGAAGCGTAAAAGCTGTTCGACACAGTAAGAGAAGACGCATAAGCCATTTTTGGAGGAGTCATATCAAAACATTGTGATGCAGAGAAAGCTGCAAACCGTGCGTTCTTCTCCGTGAAATGCTTATCAGGCTGCTTCTGACGAAGGGAATGCAGATTGCCACCGCTGCAGAACTCCATGACCAAGCAGGACAACCTTTCGGTCTCGAAATGGGAATACAGGGAAGGGAGGAAGGGGTGGTCGAGTAGGCCGAGGATTTCTCTCTCTGTTTGCGCCCGGAGTAGCTTGTTTCTACTCGCGAGGGAGGTTTTGTCCATCATTTTCATGGCGAACATGGTGTTGGTTCCCTTGAGCTCGGCAAGATAAACACAGCCAATGTCTCCATAGCCGATGCGCTTAAGGAGCTTGAAGTGGCTCAAGCTGATGGGATAACCTTTGGAGTTAACTAGCCGAATGGCCTCCCAGCGGAAATCAACCCCGGTGTGCCGCCTGACCGATGCAGCAGCGCCAGAACTCTCTGAAGCTTCGGCTGCGGTGCCACTGCGCCCGCCATGATTGTTGCTACAGGTGACGGAGTCACTGGGCTTTGTCTCCCTTGAACCCATGCATGATGGCGTGGTCACTGTTGGGGACGAGGCAGATGTTGCCTCCGAAATCCTTATCAGTTTTGGGCTAGAGAACCAGCTGGGGTGAACGCCGGAGCTTGGCCATGGATCGTCTGTTGGAGTGGAATCATCTTTGGAGATTAGTTGCGATTTCTTCTTGTGCTTTGGCAATTTTGATGATGCCTTCGTTGGAGCAGGATCCACATTCTTGCTCCTGGATGATGCCTCAGCACTCGCCTGGAATTTAGTCGAACACCTTGAGTTAGTAGAGATTAGGAAAGGCAGCCGGTCACGGAATGGACATTAAAACAAGAATTTACAAGACAAACAACTGCAACCACAGATCAAAGCTACTCCGAAGATAGGAAGGGAGCTTGCTACCTTCATGGGGGTCCGTCTTGAGCAGAGGACATTCCTTGGAAGAGAAGAAGGGATACATAAATAATGTGATGGTGGAGGGAGGGATGGTTGAGACGTGGGAGGGGAACAGTATCGCGTGGTGTATGAGTTCATGGGATCCGACTACGTTGTTGTTGTTGTTGTTGGGGTGTGGTAGGATGCTGCCCTCGGCGACATTCCCTGCATAACGCCGGCGGGATGTTGTGGTGCGGCTCCTCCGCCATGCCACGCCACGCCTGCTACGGGATGTTGGGGTGTGGTTTGACCGAGGTTTGGATGGCTGTCGGGTCAAAATAAGCACAACGTACTCGTCTAATTTTGACTCGATCGAGTCCATATACGTCGGTCGGTGTCCAAAAATATTTACAATGAGATGAGCTAAATATTATTGGTTTTTGATACTAAATTCTGGTTTATCATTGATTAGGTCTCTAAATGATTTCTTTTCAGAGGAGAGGCCAAATGAATAGCTCTCAGTGCATTCATTGATGTTTGGAGAGGAAGGCAAGTGATTGGAGAGGTGGTAGGTGGGACCCGATAGCCTCCTGCCCTCTCATCACTGTCAAATGTTGCTTTCTAAAGATATAGTTAGGAATATCAGTAATATTATCTCATCACTGGTCTTACCTATATTGTTTATAGGTGATTGATTGCAATTTAGATCATAATAGCAGTGTTGACTAATACTGATCAATATGGCTTTTTTTTTGGGATTATTTTTATTTAATTTTGGATTATTTTCAAACTCCACAAAGATATTTATCTGAAATTTCTAAAAATAAATAGAAAAAAAAGGTCGGAGGCCTTAAAATGGAGTCTGACTTCACAGAAAGCTAATGTGAGATTGACCGGGAACCGGCTGCTGGCGGTCACATCTTTCCCTTATCAGCTCGTTCAAGTTTTATCAAGTCAATCGTAGCCGTCTATCTATCATGCGGACTCTGCCTTATGCGCCCATCGGATGTGGACAAGGCAAAGACGGCAAGGGACTGTGATCAAAGAGGTCGGACGGTGGATGTTTGAGTCGCATAGAGAAGACATCTACGGTTATGTTGTAACTTGTTATGAGGACACGAACAACCCGCGACACGAAGGCATGCTTGGATCTTTAGTCGCGCAAAAACACTCGTTCTTTTGGTTTATTTACGGATAGATCCTCGGACGGGGAGGGCAAACTGGAAGTTAAGTGCAATGAAGAGGGGTACTTTGGGAAGTATAGTTCGACAAAGCCGCTATTTTAACCCCATCTCTTCCTCATCGCCCTCGCCTTCGCCTTCGCCTTCTCTTGTCTTTTCTTCTCTTTCTTCCTCTTCGCGTCTCTCGTCTCATCCTCCACAGTGACGCCTTTGTTCTCTCGGAGATTTCTTCTGCTTCTTGAATCCTCGCGGTGAAAGAGAATAGGACTGTTGTTCCGGTGAAAGGACGCCATTGATTCATGTGCGAGTCCTGAGAGGGCTATGCGATCTGTACAAACAATCGCTTGTTGATCCGGCTCCCGGTTGGAGATGATGAGGTTTGCTGCAATCCCTCTTTCTCTCCGCTCCTTTCTCCTATTTCCTGCTCTCCGTTTACCTCTGTTTGTGTTGGTTGCGCGACGATCCTCTCATCTCGAACTGTTTCTTCCTTGCTGTCGTCGCTTGAGATCGAATTTTTTGTATAGTTGCTTCAAAGAGAGGTCGCTGAGGAGGGGACGGCGAAGGCGGTGTAGGTGAAGAGCGCTTCTCCGGCTGGAGATTGTGCCTTTTCTGCCTGCGGGTTTCTGCCCGCCGATCGCCTCTTTCGGCTTCCTGAACGGGAAGACTCTGGATTCAGTGCCTATCTTCTATCTCCCGGCTCTGTTGTTGGCTTCTGTAATGTATTTTGGGATCTGAAGATTTCAGATTTGATCGCCCAATGACTCTTCCGGCGTTTTTGTCTACCCTTTCTTTTTATTTGAAGTGCCTTAGAACAGAATCGTGCTTTTTTTCTCAACATTTTGCTTTCTTGAATACTATTGTTTGGTTTTACAATCGGTTTGGAGGAGAAGCGCCTTAAGATTTCATGGTCTTTTTTTTTTTTATTTTTATCCTTGTTTCTTCTGTGGAACCCTTGGGTTTGAATTGGTTCGATTCTTTCCCTGTAGTTTTCGATGTCCTGTCTTGATGTTCTTGTGGTGGAAATCGGGACGCAGATCGCCAATTCTGGTTGCTGCTTTTGATGTTCTTGTGGTAGGAACTGCGAGTCAGATCGCCAATTCGAGTTGACGCAAACCTCTGTTTTCGATTTGACCTCTGCTTTCTGGCTACAAGTCCTGTTTCACTGGAATTAGCCGAAGGTCTCGTCCCAGATCGTCTAAATCTACCGGATCTACGCCTTTGTCAAATTGCTTATGCCTATCCACGTGATGAGTTTGTCTTCCTAGTTTCATCTGGAGATTACTTGGGTTCGGAATCCCTTTTCTGTTGCCTCGGCTTTGGTATTGCAGGAGATCAAGAGCTTCTTTGTTTCTCCCTATCGTGTTTCCTCTTCTTCTCTGTTATGGACTCGGAATGGATTTGCTCTATACCACATGTCGATCCAGAAAACCGACCCAGCACAAATTTCCAAATTTTTGCTGCTATCCAAGCTAAAGTTTTGGTCTTAAGCTCTCTGTATTCATGGATCTGCAGTTTTTAGGCTGCTTCTTTCAGTAAACAACTATTTTCGATGCCTGATACCTCAGATTTCTGCCTATTAATCCTCATCTTTGAGTTTTGATATGGTCGCTTGATATGATCCATTGAGATTTGAAGGTACCAGGCAGCTATTGACCTTAACATGCCGTCTTTGTTCCACAGATACCAGAGAGTTAGCCCGGACATCCTCCCCCTCGGCAATGGAAGGAAGCCGATCCTGAGAACATGGAAAGAAGACGACGCCGACCACGGCAGCAGAAGCACTAGCCACTCCCCTCTCGAAGCCAAACCCATAAGAGCGAGATCGGTGTCCGGATCGGCCGGCCCATCCCCAACCCGAGACCACCAGTTCCCTCGCACCTCCTTCCCCTCAGATTCCCCTACCTCAGCGGCGCACTCGGAGAGCCAACCGCCGCCCCCTTCCGCTTCCGCCAAGTCTTATAGCCGGCACCATGAGACCATCAACGGGGTCGGCGGCGACGTCATACTGCAGTGGGGACACAACAAGCGGTCCCGCGGGCCGAGGGCGGAGAGCCGGGCGTCGGGCGACGAGACCTCCTCCCACTCGAAGCAGATGCTCAAGGTTCCTCGCCGATCGGCGGCGGCGATGCCCCCTCCGCACTTTGCCGGTTCGTACGCCAGGGGAGCCCATCTGAGGTCTTCTGTTCCCGTCCGTGATGCCAACAAGTATACGTTCCTCTCTCTCTCTCTCTCTCTCTCTCTCATATGTTGGTAATCGTTTGGGTTGTTTTAGCAGCGTAGCTTTCTCTTTTCTTTTTTTGCCACTAGGATTTTATTTTAAGAATTTTATCCGCTTTCCCCTATTCAAAACCCAAGAAGAGATGTGTTTCCTGTCAGATCGCAAGGCCGCAGATATGGTGCGAGTCCTTTGATATTTTTCTGGTTTGTTGACGTATCGTAGTTCTTGCGGCTCCCCTTGGTATGTGAGATTCTTGAGTGATGATATCTCCTTGCTTTACATTTTATCTTGCTAGCACCTGGAGTTGCTTTATAGATAGAGCACTAGTCATTGCCTTCCTGTCCTGTCGCCCCCGGCACAGGCTACCAATCGATGATGCCAAACCCGCCCACATGCCTCATGTTCATATGCTGCCACAAAACCATCCCTCTCATCGCTCCGTGTTATTTTTATCCGGTCAATAAGGAACACCCATCCGCTCATCTGTCCATAACTTTTTTTTTTTGTGTGTGTGTTTATGCTCTATTTTGTTTTATTTTTAGGCATATAAGTTGGTCTTTTCCATTATTTTCTTTGTCATAAAGGTATCCTTTCGCTTTACGCCGCTATAAATACCACTTGGACATTTATTTTTTTTTTCATTTATAGCAGGGAACAGTTGGAGCCTCTCCACCTACCATTCATTTCTTGTTACCCTGTCTTGAGTTCCTTTTTGCCCTTTTTCTCTGGCCATGATCAGGGGCGTCGAAGAGCGATCGGGCGGCACAGCTCGATCCGATAAGCGATCGCCTTCTTCCCCACCGAATAAGGTTCTGAGGTCCGCCGCCGACGGCTCCATGAATCCGCCGGAACCGAAGCGTCAGCCCTCGGATCAGGAAGCTGCTTCCCCGGTGGGGGCCGCCGCGATCGGGGAGAAGCTGAACCTGGACCAGTTCGAGTGGCCCAAGATCTTCATATCCCTCTCGCGCAAGGAGAAGGAGGACGACTTCCTAGCCATGAAGGGCACCAAGCTGCCCCAACGCCCCAAGAAGCGGGCCAAGAACATCGACAAGACTCTCCAGGTATTAAAACCCCATCTGTCGATCCGGTTCTTGCATCTTGTTTTGTAAAGACATCAATAATCATAAATTAACTTTTGGGTGGGTGCAGTATTGTTTTCCAGGAATGTGGCTGTCGGATTTGACGAGGGGACGGTATGAAGTGCGGGAGAAGAAATGCGCTAAGAAGGTATTCTTCCCCACGCATCCCGGATTCTCTCCCCCCTCCTTCTCCTCCTCTTGCCCTCCGTATTTCTGTCCATCACCAACAAATCGACCTAATCTTCTTCGACTTCTTGGTTTTTTCCTATTTTTTTATGTGTCTATTTTATTTATTTTGTTGACGCATCCCATCCATCATGGCATCCGAGAAGGTGGATCATAAAACATGCATGACGCCAACCAATTCCCAGTTTTTGGCCCTCGAGAGAAGGGAGTGGGTTGAAAATGCATCGGTCCCTTTTCCCTATCTTCACGTGGGTCCCTGACACCCATCACAGTGACCGCGTTGATGGTCCCAAATTAATGCGGCCTCGCCTTTCTCTGATCCCACTTGTGGCGTTTGGCTTCCTCCTCTACTTTCCGTGACATAATTTAATTCTTGTGCCGATGATGCAGTTGTTGCTTTGTGCAGAGGCGGAGGGGATTGAAGGGGATGGAGAGCATGGAGAGCGACTCCGAGTGAATGCGGTCGAGGCATGCATGGATGCAGCTCCAGGTCGCGTTGATCTCTTCTTCCTCCTCACGCTCCGTCGTGTCGTTGGTGTCGGGAGTTCTTTGTTTCTCACGCTGGTTTTGGGGAGCGTTTGTAACCCTCCGTGCATCCTCTGAGCCCTTGTACAGATCCGCAGCTGGCATTAATGGAGAAAAAAAAAAAGTCAATTCGATCAAACCGATACTGATCCTTTTTGGATCTGATATGTGGGTGACTTGCCTTGTTTTCTCATCCTTGGCAACGGTGGCGCATCAGAAGCCGCAATACATGGCGCGATCCGCCGTGGTGGACGGCGCAGGGTTCAGCGGCACATACGATGACGACGGATAAGACTGCTCAGCGACGGGGTCCAGCCTCGCAAATGCCGAGTGGGTGCTCGGCCACCGGCGCATTTTCGGTTCTCCCACTTGGCTTTTGGTGGGTCCGACTCACATGTACAGAGAAGCCACAAAGAAAAGAGTGCGAAGGACCCAATTATAAATGGAATCTTTTGTTCGGGTCGGGTGCCAAACAACAGGCAGCAATCATCTACGGCTACATGGAGGTGATGGCTCGGAACGGGTGGGTCCCGACGCTGGAGCCCGTTGGCTACCGGGAACCTACAAAGGTGTGTCTTCTCTGGGCACCCAACGCATACTTACCGTGTTGAGGGGGGGAGAGAGAGAGAGAGGACGACCTAAAGGACGACAGAATAGCCACGAACAAAACCAGAATCGCGAGGTCTGACCCTCTTCCCATTTCTTTTACTTTCCAAACATTTTTCGATCGCCTCGGGATGATGATGACGACGACGACGACGACTTTTGCGATCCACTCCTCTCGTATCGTTCTTGCGCTTGTGGGTGGATCTTGCTTGCTGGGCGCTAGTTTTAGGTTCTCCGTCGAGAGCTCGATTGATCTTGAGCTGTTGCTTCCTTTGGGTTCCTGCAAGCGTGGTTTTGTCGGTGTTTGATTCTTGAGAAAAAGATGAGATACCGTAATGTGCACAAGAGTCGAAGCACAGTTTTGGATCTTGATCTAGTTGTT